AACAAGGCGATACAAAGTGCTTTAATGCAAAACAACGAGACAAAGTAGCAAAAGAAACACACCACAAAAGGATAAAATATTAAATACAAGGTAAAATAGAAGAGATGTTTAAAATACAATAATAAAAGTCACAGTACAGTGTAAGAAATTATTTCTGCACAGAAAGTCTTGATTTAAAAGAAGTGAGAATTGCAGCTGACGTGCAGTTTTCTAGGAGTTTGCTCCAGATATATGGTGCATAAAAACTGAACGCTGCTTCTCCTTATTTAGTTTTGACTCTGGGGACAGAGAGCAGCCCCCTCTCAGACGACCTGGATGGTTCATAATGGAGCAGAAGAGCAGAAATAAACCACTCAGCGCTTTAGAAACCAACAGTGACATTTGAAAATGAATTCTTCCACAGACAGGAAGCTATAGTGTGAAGACCTCAGAGTCCTGAGTATAAGCTGATGAAGACAAACATATGCACACATTATGCTACAATGCATCTTGCAGAATTATATATAGCTTGCGGCAAAGTGTGGCTAAGTTACAGTCCCTCAAACGAACCTCACTGTTCCTCCCTCTTGATGAGTTATGATGCACTCAGCGGCACCGTGGACAGACAATCACTCTCTCTGCATCGCGACCCCATCACGCATCAAGCAACCCCGATTACTGTGGCTCGAAGATTTCACCTCATACTCAAAGAAGCCAAGGGAATTAAACAATGATTCAACGATGCTATAACTGAGCCACGGCAGCGACGCAAAGCTTGTTATCTCAGTACAAGTAGGACTACATGAAAACGGTCGGTCACTGAAGTCATGAAAAATGCAGATGATGAGAGTGTAACATTTCTTGCAGGATTGATTGGGATTATTAAATCGAAAAGTAGTTATCATAACCTTGTGCGGCAGCTATGTGAACATTCACTCAAAAAGAAATTAAAGACTGGCTGTAAAAACAGAAGATCGACAAAAAGGTCAGAGGTCTAAGATGACTTCTCTAATTAGCGCTGCCGTTGAAGAAGATGAGGTCTTCCTCTTCAGAAAACGTCTCGTGTTTTTCTGTGAGTAAGAGGGCCTGGGAGAAATGTTGGAAAAGCTCGAAGTCAAACTTTTCCCTGGCTCATCTGAAAGTATATTATTGCACCATTTTTCTTTTACCAGACTTGAGAAGCTGTCCCGACCATTGCAATGACTCATGTTTAAGCAATTACCCACATGTGTTTTGCATTACTTCCTTCAGCCAACATTTGAAATTCCTGGGAAAGCACACACATTTCTAACCTTAAACACATGTTCCTACCACTGTTAAATTAACATTACTTACCTTCTTTGAATTTTTTCTTTTTCCATTTGCCCCTTCCACCAATATGCGTCTTCCTCCTGCATGAAGTCGGAAATGAGGGTCCACTGTAAGTCTCTGTAAGTTGTCTTTTAGAGTCTCTTGGAGTCCTCAAGTCCAGCTGGATGCTCATATTAATCCTCCACATGGCAGCAGGATTAATATGATTGTTCATGTTCCTCTCTGCAGCGTTGCCTTCAGGGATAAAAATCTGAGACAATAATGCTTTTAGATCCAAAAAATAAATGAATACAATAAATTGAGGACAATTTGAAAAAAAAGCAGCAGACTTAACAGCCAAGATGACTCTAAACTGAGCAGCCAGAAGATATAAAGAGATAATAACTTGCTCATGTCCAATTCTAGATTCATTCCAGCTCTCCACTGATAATAGAAATAGTTGTTTTGGTTGCTCCCACTTGCGATAGCTATTCTGGAAAAAAAATGCCACCCACAACATTTGGGGAAAATATGGTGGAATTTAGGGGAAAGAAATAAACCGATTTGGTCAAGTTTATGCCACTCAAAGAAATTATTACAAAAAAATAGATACAAATTTAACTTTCGATGGATCGAGCCTGGTCCATAAGGTTAATTTAGGCTCCATGAGCATATTCCCCACCCTGACCTCCAGCAACCTTTTGTTTCACTCTGCTGTATAGTGTGAAGCTAAAGTCTCCCTAAAGCTTTATAAAAGCCTGAAGATAATGATGAATCTGCCCAATTGTACTCGACAATCTGCTTTCTGTACGCCTTTCTGGCAGATGTTTTTGCTTTTTCGATTTTTTTTTCTAATCAAAGTTTTGGGAACATTCCATTCACATCTTGAATAAAAAAAAGAAATAAGAACACAGCAACATGAATTGCATTTTCTTTTATATCTTCAAGCGAAGGAAGATTCCTCACATCCCTAACAGGCCATTGTCCATTGGCTCACAGCAGGTCCCCAGCAGTCAGAAAGTGTCATACATAGTGTATTTTTTGCACCCAGTGCTTTTCCACCCACCCGTTTAAAGTTCAGATAAGAAAGCCTCTTTAGGATATTGCTGAAATAGAGAACCACTGTAAGAAATATTACAACACATTCTCACTCCCAACATGTCAAATCCCGCAGCTTGGTCAGCGGGCCTATAAGATTCAAACTATGGCACTTTAGGTACTCCTCTAGTGTCGGGTTTGGACGTGTCAGTCTCCGTTTGTTAAATGCATAGTGTCTTTTCAAAATAAACTTCCATTTTCACAGGATAGGTACAGTTTGTGCTCATTACATGCATAGTGTATTTTCAAAATAAACTTCCAACTTAGGTTTACTTTTTTTAGGTTTATGCAAAATATCTGTGGTTAGATTTGGGGAACAAAAGTACTTGGTTAGGATGAGGTAACGATTTGGGTTGGGTTGTAATAAATCTGTTTATTATGTATCTGGTGTTAAATTATAGAAGTAACATAACCAAACTATGGTCAAATAAGTCAACGTTGACTTGTTTCAGATGGGACACAACCAGCGGTGTCCTGGGTGAAAGTCCTCTGTTTGTTGGACCCACCCAATCAAAACTCCCACCATCTAATAATGACGCCGATGGGTTTACATTGGAGTAAGTTAAAAGCCTGAAGCGTCGGAACGAAACACCGAGGGTCACTGGCCAAGTATTTGACAAGTTGGGAGTGGGAACGGGTTGACTACAACAGACACTCAAAGCGCGTAAGAACACGAGAACCTGCTGTGTATCCACATTTTGCATTTGATTACAATGCAAAATGCAGCACCATTTCCCTATGCGGATGCATGTCAGTCTTTGCAAAATTAAGAAATATTCTTCTGTGCTCAGGATGTCTTACAGTGTGATGGGAGCAGTCGAGGTCCGAGGGTAATTGGCTCTGTAAAATCTGAGTCAAAATGCAAATTCATGTCAACTTTTTCGGAGGTGCTTCCACTTTTATTGAATAACTTGCAACAACTGAGTACAAACAAACTGCAACTTGCGACAGGTCTGTAAATAATATCTGTGTGTTGACGGAGACACAGCTGAATGACTGATTGCAAACATGAATATCATTAATGAAGCTTCGCAACTGCATGTACAGTATCTCTTGTTTGGATCAGAGTTTTTTTGTGTCACGCAGGCAATGTTTCCATGCTAATGTGGATGCTGCACAATAACTGCCCTGCGGCATTTCAGTGCAAATATTGAACGTCCAAATGAAGAGGAGGCGGCGAACATGCTGATTAGAGGAACAGTGTGGCATGCTGCATGTGCAAGGATTAATTGTTTTAACAAAAGCATAAAGTAAAGGGTGTATAAGCCATCTCTCTCTTTCTCCTATACCCATAAATCATTAATTGTGCATCAGTTACCCAAAAATACAAACGTGACAATGAAAATATAATGGCCTAATGAGCCAGTGACTGTCTCCTGATTCACTCCTCTGTGTCAAATCTAATTAATAGGGAATAATTATTATTATTATTTACGAACAAATCACACACTGTAAATAATGCCGGGCCTCGATTAGCTGACTCATTAATCAGTCCTGGTTTTCTCGGCATGCCTTGCTCGCTCATTTCTCTCCATCTCCCAAATCTGAGGCAGATATGCAGTGCATACTCTGTCTGAACACTATAAATCAGCAAATAGTTTGTTACTTATGCACACAGCAGTAATAAAGCACGAATTGGTTATTTGGGGAATAAAGAAACAAATAGTGAAAAGAGCAAGATATGAGCTAATACGGAAAGAATCCTCTCAGACATACAGTAAATATTGCAAGGAGTGGACCGAGAGGGTCCACTCAGAGGGATGTTGTGTTTCTGACCGAGGAGGTCCGCTGATGTGATGCAACATGTCTGTAACGAACTGCCAAACGTTAGGGAAGTATGCATACATTTGGCAATCACGGAGTTTTCACAGCTCCCTGTGTGGTAGTCTGCATCTGTCTCTGGCTTCACGCAAGATCATTATCACCTCGTGAAAGGCCTTTTAAAGAAAATTAGATCTTCACTATAAGCAATGGCTTCGCACTTTTTTTCGTGCCAGATGCAGCGCAGAGACTAAGAGAGCAACATGTTTAGAAATGGCTCATTAGTTAGTTCTGCGTAATACAAAGTGTCTTCCTGCATGGGTTCATGTCGCCTGCAATTAAGTCAGCAGTGTGATTAAGTCAGATGGGGGTGCTTTCTGCAGGGCTGTCACAATCTGCTCCAACACGCTACAGAGTCCACATAGTGTACCCACAACTTCTCCTCCGCTCTGACAGAATTCATTTTCAGCAAATTGAGTAACATCTGCTTATCAGCAGCACAACCTGTCATTCTACGTCGTTCTGTTTTCATTTAGGCGATCGTCTCCAAAACCCCATATGGCTCCCCCTGCCCCTCACTCACCCTGTAGTTATTATTCCCGCCTGTCCCCCTGTGGAATGTTTTTCTCTGAGTACTGCAGCAACACCGAACTCGCTATAAATCACATTGCATTATCACCGCGCCGTGCTTCGCCTCGCGCTCACCCCCCCCCCCACCCACCCATCACGCGGCTCCGATTGGCCGGTGAGACTCCTCGGCCGGCCTCTCCGAGCGGGACATCGGTGTAATCGTAAATCCCGCCTCCTTCCTTGAGGCCGGTGATTGGGAGACAGGGTCTCTCCTTGAACTGTCAATCAAGCCGTTTCTTGTGCGCTTCGCATCCACTGCTGCTCCCTGCGACGCGCTAAGTGCGGAGCGACGAGACGCGCTGCATACCAACAGAGAGACGCGGGAGCAGGCTAATTAAGCTCAAGTGGCGATTTACGACCGGCTAGGACGCGCAGAACCCGTCTTGTTCGCTGACAACAACAACAACAAAAAAGGTTATTTTTTGGTCGCGTCATTGGACAGTTTACCTTGAACATTTTCCTCCCATGCGTTTTCTCTAAATATTTTTCCTTCAAGGCACTGAGAGCCAAACTAAGTGTTCAGGTTATTTGTTTTATTTCGGCTCTGATATTTTTTTCTGGCTGACAGAGTCTGCACAGGAGAAGACAAACAGCCCCCTTTGCCTCTCTCTCCGGTCATCAGAAGGAAAAGTCAAGTGGATAAAACTGATGTTTTCGTCCAGTCACATGTAGAAGAAGCGTTGGACTATTGCTGTTGATATTCATCCACTGGTTCGGGTTTTTTTTATTAATAAGGGAAACAGAGTCCCTGCAACGGCACCACAAAGGAGGAATACCGAGGCTGCAAAAACAAGCAGAAAATCAATCAGAACTCCATCATGGGCTGCCCTCTCTTGCGGAACGCGTTTGCTGGATTGATCCTGGTTCTGCTGTCGAAAGGTAAGTTCTTACGAGCTACTTTAGCGACGCGCTGACGGCCCCGCGTGCTGCTGCGCCACGACGCATGTATGTTCGCCTTTCATTTTCTGAAAGCAGGTTGTGGAGGTGAATACTAATGATCTACCTGCCTGTGAATCACGCGTGTCTGCTGTGCCACTGCGATGCTGTATGTGTGCGTGTGCGCGTGATTGCGTGCGTGCGAGCGCAGCGCCTGGTTCATCTCCAAGCCAACCTCGTGGTTCAGTGTAAGCAACGAGTGCATGTTAAGATGTTTACTATGAAAAAAAAACTCGCATCCCCAGTCTTCTGTGAACATTCCTTTACGTGACTTGAATGGCCTGGTATCCCACGCACACGACGCACCAGCAGCGCAAAGAGGGGGTTGTGGGTGGTGTTGGTGGTGGTGGGGTTTAAGTACGGGTAGAAGCAATGCAGAGAGACTCAGGAGAGAAAACCAGTGTTTTGTTCTCTCGCTCTCTATCTCTCGCTCTCTCTCTTCAAAACCAAGGTCGAGAGAGACAAATTGAGAAAGATGGGCAGTTGGACAAAACATGCACTGGGTAGTGAAGCTTAAATTCATCCTCTTTTATCGCTGGCGTAAAACATCTTCCCTACAGCTCAACAAAAGGGACGAACACACTTCATTAATCTGCTCATTTACAGTGTCGAGATAACTTGCCCAACCAGAAGATTCAGTTGGCATTTTAAACCGCTTCATTGTTAATAACACACACAGACCGTGTTATGTTGTTGTCGTCCACGGGGAGCGCTGACCAGGGAATATTTAAAATCCATCGACCTCCTAATACTCTCTCCATGCTATGGGATGTCCCACCATATATTAGTTGCACACGGCATTCTCACCATGTACTCCTTCCCCATCTAGCATGAACACACACACACACTCACACACCTGGCTCAATTAGTCCTGCCTTCATCCTGTGGGAAATCAGTATATAAATAAATTATTCTGGCCCTTAATAACAATAATTGATGTGTCAGTGCAATAAGATGCGAGGTTAACAACGTACAGATGCAGACGGGCTGTAGCCTCCTGCTCCTGCGCTCAATGTGGGCAGGAGAGCCCAGCTGGTCATGGTTGGCTTGCCACAGCAAGCCCCTTCTCCACACCAGGCAGAGAGCAGACGGCCGGCCCTGCAGGACGTACACAGCACACAAACACAATGGGTTCAGCACCGCGCAAACAAAGCCATACCGAGTCACTACTGCTCGGGAATTTGTAACCTATGGGGGGGGGGTTTGCGACGTGAAGGTGTGACCAATCATGTAAGCCGCAGTTGAGGAATGATTGGATATTGATGGGAGTTGTGCACATGTGAAGCAGATTCATCCCATTGAGAGGGATCCCGCCTGCTGCTTTGAGTTGCTGTAGGTCCACAGCACGTCGGTCTTTTAGAAGTAGAAAGCCATGCATTATAAAAGGAAGAACATGGCTGTTAAAAGGGCACCGTCTGCTGCTCGATAAATCATGCAGCAGTGAAATAATCCTTTGTATCTGTGCCTCCAAGAGGCAGGCCAGTTTGGTCGCTTAAATGCTTCACCGCCGTTGTTTAGCAGATTGTGTGTGAGTTGTTATTGCCTGGTTAACGAGGAATAAGACTTATTCCCTTGAATGACGTGTACAGTATTTTATTACCCTAAAAGGCATTTCTCCTTGACAGAGATTATCACATTAACACATTTATTAAGAGAGAGCACCATTACATCTTCCATGTACCCTCAGAAACAACTAGTAAAATGTGTTTCAGACCGGTACAATGGCATGCCAACCAGGTTGAAAAAAGGGCTTTTTTCTTTGCTGCGGAACACAATTAGGCTATTCAAAGGTTGGCGACGGGCTTGCCGTGTGAATGTACAATCCACTCCATGGGTGCAATAGCCAGCTCCTGGCATGCTGTTTCCCTTCCACATTTATTCCCCCTTTGAGTACCTGAACTCTAGAAAGGTGAACATCCAAGCGCCCACTCATACATGCAGTAAAATATCATCTGTGTATTTCTGGCACACAAGCTGTCTGAAAATAAATCAAAACCCATTTCATCTATGAGAACAGACACTGAGGCTTATGAAACATTAAGGCTGTGAGTGTATCCACACACACACAAACCTCCACACGAAATTAAACAATTTACCCTCCGCTCAAAGGATTTCTGTTGTGACAGAAACCTGCAAGATCGGATAATGAGAATAATGCTGTCATTGATTTAGTGAAAAGTGAAGATGACAAGAGAAATTGTTTCTGCTTTCGGGGCTAGATAAGTTCACAGCAGAGGACGTTTAAGGTTACATATCAAAGATAATGCAATATTTAGATATTTAGGAAGCATATTTCTGCCTTACAGTATCCAGTTATGCAGTTATTGCAGGGAATAACCCCCTCACACTGTACTGTATGCTGCACGTTTGTCACTAATGTAAAACAGTCTACAGATGGGTCTTCCCACCCACATGCACCGCTGTGATGGAGGTTCTGCCAACAGGAAGTGTTCAAGGATGGAACACGGTGAAAACAGGTGGGGTCGCGTTGTTGCATGCCGTCCTTGTTTCATCAACATATGGGGGGCCAAGTGGGGTCAATGCGCAGCGCACATGTTAGCACGTAGCCACCCTCCATCATCCCTGCCCCCTCAGACACACACACACACACACACACACACTCAACTGGATCACCAGTCTTGGCTTGGAGATGAAGAGAATAGAGATGCCAGCATCAACAGATGCCTTGCGCTCTTATTCTGGAGGGGACTCTGCTTTTTCTCTCTCCGTTTGAAATCCATGGTTTCTGTGTGCTGTTGTTCTCCATGTTTGGCTTAGAAATGCCCTGCCATTTTGGCGGGTTTTTATTTATCTGCAAGTGTTGGCGTGAGAGGGCCTGGATTTGGTCTCAAGAGCCTGGGGGACAAGGGTTGGAGGTTTAACCAGCCTGGAGTGGGTCTGCAGTCTGAACGTTTTTCCCTCGGGTTTCACTTTTTTCTATTTCTCTATCTGCTGTGTGGGGCCTGTGGTGCTATTCCTTGCACATAGTGAATCCGAGATAGTAACCTTAAGAAAATCTAGCTGCGTTTTGACCTAGGACTGGCAGAGACAGGTGCTGTGATGTAAAAACAAAATTGGTGTTGTATGGAAACATCATTAGAATTAATGGTTACATCAAAATCAAAACACGTAGTCAACCTGACAAAGACAGCATGGTTGAATAAAGCAATGGTGTACTGAAAAGCAGTTGTGAGACATGTTTTGAATTTGGTTTATTATTGATATATTCCACTGTTTTGCGTAGCGAAGTAAATAGGTGCTATTATGGTAAGAGCATTACCGAATGAGAACAATCTTGAGATGTCATCTTTAAGCAGCAGAAACACTTGGAAAATGTAGTTCTTGAAAAGAGTTAAAATAGCAAGATTCAGTAGAATCACTTTGATTATCTGACTTAAATTACTACCCACACCAATATAGAATTGAAACAGCAATTGTACCGTGACTTCAGCCTTTTGAATACAATACAAAGAATCATGTCATTCCTACTGTAACAACCACTCACAGTATTGTCATTGGATTTCAAGGTGTTAAGGAACCACATCAAGGCCTGTAAGATACAACCTGTTCAGTTCAGTCATTATTGTAACTCATGGGAGATTTGGATCGCAGCATGGGTCAAAACCAACCAATCATCATGCAAGGGATCTAATATCTGACGAAAAAGTTCTTTCTCATTTTTTCATGCGTTCTTTTACAAATTTCCAGCAGCATGTGCGATCAGTGTCCCGGGTGAAAGTCCTGTTTATGTTTGACATCCTCCTTATGCAGACTGTATCTTTATACTACGTCACCTGACTTCCATAGCGGCAGCCTTGCCAACCTGGCCCACAATTATGTGGGTTGTATACGAATAACAGTATACGGTAAAAGTGCAATCAGTGAACCAACAGTCACACAATAAGAATGCACACACAATAAAAAAGCAACTTAAGAAGTAAAGATACATTTGTAAAAATAAATGAAAACAGTTAAGACCAGTAAATAAGAACTAGTAAACAAATAAATAATATCGGGTCTTTTTGGTAACTACAGGAAAGTGGGCTTCTAAAAAAAAAAAATGTTTGAATCTATTGCACTTTGTTCAGGAGAGGATGTTCCTCCAGCCTAAAGGAAGCAGTTCAAACTGTCTTCTTTAAGGGGTGGTAGGTATCAGCAACACTAAACGACCAGGACCGAGGGGAATGTTGAATTGTATTCATTATCATGCCCTCACTTCGTGGATTTTGCAGCGTTTCCAATTACAGGATAGACAGAGATGAATAACCCCTGAGCTGGTGACCCCGTGACCTGCCAGGCTGAAGCTGAACTCTGCATCTCATAGTGTTATCAGCTATCTGGCCAGAGCGGTGACTGAGAGGTCACAGGTTCAAATCCTTTGAGGATGAGGCTATAGCCACAGTGTTGCTGCGGACGGTAGGCGGCCGCGGCACCACCTCGCCGCCCTTGAGATTTCTCCTGTCGCTTTTGATAAACACTTCACTGGGCCTCACATATTGGTTCGGGGGGTTGGCAATTACACATAGTGTCAGTGTCATAAATAATGATTACAGCAAGGCTTGTTTGCAATTATAATTATAGTTATAATATATGGAGTTTGGTGCAATGGAAAAGGAACTAGGACGGCACTCAACCCGGGACAGGTGTGTTTAATTACTGTAGTAATTTGCTTCGTTACAACCTCCCAGCGTCCCAGTCCCAGCTCAAAGACCTGCGTCGGTCCGGGTGTGAATATGAAGGCTGGCTTCGGGTTATCACTTTAACAAATAGAAAAAAAAGGCTATGTTTTATTTAATGCAGGGGAAGGATCATTCAAGAGGGAGCAGAGTGGCTGTAGAGGCAGGAATAAGTGGCAGCTCGTGTACTTGCATCAACCACTGCCCACGCAGGCACACACACACGCACACACACACACACACACAGCCCTCACAGAGAAATAAACG